CCTGGTCATTATAATGACATTGCTGATTCTATATCTCCCGTTTTCAGCAAACCAGATTTCGGCGGCTAGCACCGCATGCAGACCATCAACCTCAACCTCTACCAGAGGAACTTTCTCGTCTCTAGACGCTGACTTACGTCGTTATCAACTTGCTTCGTTAGCTAAAGGTACGATTAAACTTATAGCAGTGGCGAAAAACAGTTCACGAATTTCTACTATCAATTCCATTTACATAAGTATGTGCCTCTTCTGCCAACAACGGAAAACATTCTGATTTACTTTGCTGTTTTTCTCGCTAAGACGGTAAATCCAGACACCATCAAAGTCTATCTCGCCGCAGTACGCCATATGCATTTGGTTAACGGCTACGACCTTCAAATCACCAAATTTCAACGCCTACACTATATTTTGCGAGGTATAAAGCGAGTAAAAGGAGTGTCTACAAGAACACGCCTACCAATTACGTTAGACCATTTGAAATTGTTTCACCGCATATTACACTCACGGACATCGCCAACACATGATGAAACCATGATTTGGGCAGCGATTTCCATAGCATTTTTCGGGTTTTTGCGGATTGGTGAAATGACTTGCTCCGGTCCTTATAATTCTTCAACAAATCTTTGCCGATCAGATGTAAGTTTTCATAACAAAAAACGTGGGGATAACGAGGTTTTTCTGCAACTACGAATTAAAGCGTCAAAAACTGATCCGTTTCGAGCCTCAGCCACAATAACCATTGGCAGCAATTCTGGTATATATTGTCCAGTAAGGGCCCTTCAAACCTACCTTTCACGTGCGCCAACGGACTATGCGGGACCATTGTTTTGCTACTCAAACGGTGTTCCTTTATCACGTAGTCAATTTACTAAGGAACTACGAACACTTTTGGCCCAAGGTGGTCATCACCCTGCTCACTATGCAGGCCACAGCTTTAGAATCGGAGCGGCTACCACAGCTGCGTCCCAAGGTTTGCCTCATTGGCTTATTCAAACGCTAGGAAGATGGTCTTCCGATTGTTACCTCAGGTATATTCGCACGCCAATCAATGTCCTTACAGACGTTTCAAAACGATTGATTGCAGAGTGAAATAAACACTCGATCGTTGTTTGTCGGTCTATGGGGATCACACACACTATCGTTGTGTGATTGTGGAGGCAATTGCTTTAGTATGAGGTCGCAATTTTACCATAGACCTCACGTTTTCTTTACGGAATTTGGCAACCTGGCATACAGCCAATTCCCATTTACAAAAATCACTCTATTTCTGCATATGAGTATATGTGCTGAGCCAGATCAGTGTTCTAAGAAATATTTCCCTGATCATTTTTTCCCAGGGCCCAGCTCAGAGTATATGTCTTGCAGGGCAGGCTAGGATCCAGCTCTAAATGGAGTATATGTTCTAGCCGACTCAGGACCCAGCTCTAAATCCGTAAAAGTATATGTCTTGGGCAGATTAGGACCCAGCTGCAAATCAGTATATGTCCTAATCGACTTTCCCCAAGATCCAGCTTTTCAATACGAGTATATGCCCTGGGAACCGCTCAGCACCCAGCTCTTCGCAGATAAAAAATACAATATATAGAGCAGTTGTCCCACACTTCCATAACCCCACAAACCTTGTGTTCTTATGCGTGTCGTTATATTAAATATCTCAATATATATATATTTATTAAACGGTGAGGACATTAATTTGATACGAGCGGCTAAATGCATGCTTGCTTGGCAAATTAAGTCAAAATAAATTTTATCGCTTAGTATAAATATGATCTGAATATGGCTTACCTTCTTCTGTATCAACTGAGGTTGCATCTGCAAATAAAATAAAAAGTAATATATAGCTGTCTTAATCTTCATCAGTGTTTCTGCAGATTTTTAGGGAAATGCGGGTTTACCTATTTATATATGGTACTCAGCTTTAATGCTACACGCCAGTGCGTTTGTAATGTAGTAGATCAATGCCATTACCATGACCAAATGGCCTTAAAGTTAATTTGAGTATGTCCTAAATGGGCAGTATATCTAGATTTCAAAACATCTAGCTTGGCAATTATTATTAAGTATAACATTGGAAAAGTTTGTACACTTACAACAAAATGCAACAACTGCTGTTAATAATAACAAAATCTTCATTTTTGTAGCTCTTCAAGTTTTGAAGTTCCTCTTCAAATTATTAGATATTTTTTGCCTCGTGTCGTTATATCTGCTGAGTCCTCAGAAACCTTGTTCTTTTATACTGTAGGGTCGGCGGGAAGTCCAACCCATCTGAACATCGTCAATATCATTTAGATCTTGCATTGTATTGTTTTCCATCAATTCAGGTGACAGAAAATGTTGCTGAAGCGGAAGATATAGCCCATTGTTTTGGAGCCGTATTAAAACAATATTGTGCAAATCCATGGCGATTATAGAATACAGAATGTCTGCACAGGCTACAATGAACAGGCCATGCATTTTTACGCATATATAATTTATCAATTTAAAAATATAGAAATATTCATTCTTGAATTATGATTTAACTGAATGATTTCCTAAGTTAGATTTTTCAACTAATATAGGGTTGTAGTGCCCCTTAGAAACTATCATTCAAAAACCTGAGCTGTGCCTTTAATATAATTTGCGGTAGCAGGACATGCAGGTTTTGCTATACTGTAAATGTTACTCAAGAAACATTGAAAACTCATTTGACAGATTATTCTGTTGAAAAACAACAGTATACGTATTTATAAAAAATATCAAACGTGAAGCCTATACATGTTTTATTAACTAATTTTATTAACTAACAAATTTATGTAGGGATTTCCTACAATCTTCTGCATGTATACTAATTCTCGTCTTTTCGACACATGCAACTAGAAGATATACTTTCACATGGCGCAATGACTCCATTGTTTACGTTATAGTGCAGGCTGTATGAAAACATTTCAGAGATGAGAAACACTTTATGACATTAATTCAAATACAGTACTACTATGGCTACTAAATGCATTGACGTGCAATAATGTCTAAACTGAAACCTGTATAAATCGTATAAATTATAAGTCTGGGCTAATGAGCGCGAAGTTGTCCATACATTCAAAGAAATTGACTTTAATATCATAACTCATATAAAGTAAAAAAGATAAAATTAATGCTGAAACGGAAGATTTAGCACCATTGTTTGGGGTAATGTTAGGCCAAAAACAGAATTATGCCAATCCAAAGTAGATACTATGCACACAATGTCAGACTACAATGAACAGACAACACATTTTTTAAAATGATTTACTTATTTAAAATACTACTATACACGTGAACATACACCATTAATCCCAGACACTTGTAGCCCTCTCATTAAATTAGCAAATTAAATTAGCAAAGAATACGAGGTATTGCAAAATAATCTTTCGCAAATATATTCCAGTCACATCTTCATGATCACATAGCACCCATACGAACATGCATGTTCCATGTAATTTAATCCCTTGTTTATATCTGTACAGTATCTCGTTTAGTTGATGTATCATTTTGCATTGTCCGCCTCCAGATCGCGGCAAAGAAAATCAAAGATTTTATAATTCAAACAAAAAAGTAATCCATCTCAATGTGCAAATTATATATTATGCATGTAAATCGGAATAATTACAGCTGAAATGAATTTTTCCCAATATAGTAAAATTGCAAGAATACTGTTGCACCCCAAAAATGAACAGGATTTGCTTGGTTGATTAAGAATATACTTTCGTAACAAATTATCTTAAAAGAAAAACGAGGCCTAAATATTAATTTTTCTTGTCTCACAAAACTACATAGAGCGTGCTTTACCCATACAGTACAAGTAAGTTTCACCCCTGACCCCAAGTGGCCAAACTGTGGTCAAGTAATTTTGGGGAGTCAATTATTCTGTCGGCGTTTTGGTCTTTTGCTGCTTTTCTCATATTGTTCCGGCAATTGTCATAGAGTGTTACAGTGCGTCTACTGTAAGTGGGGCCACTTAGAGAACACTAACCAATCGCATTGTAGAACAAAATGAAAAATCTGATCAAACTAAAGCTCGTCCAATCAAAAGAAAGATTCAGGAAGCCATTAACTGCAGTATTTACTTTTACAAGTCTATTTTTACCGTTTGACATTCGTTTATTTGTTCAAATTGTTTTTGGCCTAATGCTGATTTGCTAATGCGCCGTTTGTTGATTTTTTCACTTTCCGTTCTGCAATGTGATTGGTTAGTGTTCTCTAAGTGGCCCCACTTACTGTAGACGCACTGTAAAGTTCTTCGAAACACAAAATAGTAAAAGATTAATTAAAAGTTAACTTCTTGGTTATTCTTCGTTGAACATGACTACAAGTGCGCAGAAAGATAAGCATACAGTGCATTGGTTAATACATTCGAATGGTTATTAGTTTAGCAATACATATACAATGTTATGCGTGCGGTAGCCCCCCTGCTTTAAAAAAAAACAAGTTAAGAATTCTAGTAAACCATATACGGGTCATCAGTGAACGAAAAATCATGTAAAATTATTTTACTGAAATCGCAAGGTATTTGGAATGAGTGTTTGAAAAATATCTTTGCGGGAGCAAGATTGAATAAGCCCGCGTGAAGCTTTCTCTAATTTATATTTGGAAACGTTGCATTGTTTATATTGTTTTGCAACAACACAGCTAGGTGTTAGAAAATGTTGCTGAAGCGGAAGACATAGAGCCCGTTGTTTTGCAGCAATATTAAATTAAAACAATATTGTGCAAATCCAAAGCAATTAAACACTTAATGTCTCAGTCAACAACGAACAGATCATTTATATACGCATATATAATTTATCTATTTTTAAATATAGAAGTATGTTTATTCTGCAAGATTGAACCAAACCCCGTCTTATTTAAACAAAGGAAATTATAACACCATTTTATAAAGCCGTTAGATTCGCATAATCATGCATATGGACCTAGACAAATTCCAAGTAATTTAATTTAAACTTCTGCTTTAACATAATTCCCGTACAACTTTACTTTCTGGCATTATCAGAAGATTGGGGTCACATGCACAATGGAATTTTACTCGCTAATTCATAATAAAGTTAAGATATTGGAATCTTTACTCTGCTTTATATAATATCAAAAGATGAAATAAATAATTAGAATGTGATTCTTTATAATTTAAACTTATAATTCATTCATACTATTTATGCCAATGTAAACTGTGTGCAAATAATTTCGGGATTTCGACATGTCATCGGGCAATTCATTTTCTTCAACATTTTTTTATATTTTCTGTAATTTTGTAGACTAGTTGACAATTTTGTGAGCACGGAACATGTTCATCCTAGGTTCTTTATTGTTGTCCTTCAGATTGAACTGTGTAGTGGGGTTGGAACTAAAATCTCTTCGTTTTAGCATTATTTTACAGATAAAGCACTATAATTGACCATTTGCGTAATAGACTAAATTTTGAACTAAACAAGTCTAGACAAATCTTTCATCACAGCTTGAAGGAGCATCACAAAATTAGTAATATTCCGGAGTTTCGTTGCAAAATGTTGTAAAATGCGGAAAATATAGCCTTGCGAAATTTGCAATTTTCAGTCATTTTAGATTACAAACGGGAAATTGACAGCCCCAAACCCTTCGAGGCTGTCAATTTCCGGTTTGTAATCTAAAATGACTGAAAATTGCAAATTTCGCAAGGCTATATTTTCCGCATTTTACAACATTTTGCAACGAAACTTTGGAATATTACTAATTCTGTGATGCTCTTTCAAGCTGTAATGAAATTTTTGTTGAGATCAAAATGTAGTCTATTACGCAAATGGTCAATTGGAGGATTTGAAATGACATCTCATACGAATAAATCGCTACTTAAAGTGAGATGAATTAATTTTGAGCCAGTTCTAGGACTAAATTAATTTTGATCTAGTCCTAGGACTGGATCAATATTCTTCACGAGGTATCCAGTATTATCATGTGAGCAAAATTAAGCAATATGGTTGGCTAATTTACTTATGAATTATTAATGGTTTGAGATTGATGGCTGAATAACTGTGTATAACAAAGCTGTATAAAGAATAACTGGCGACGCCACTATCTATAGTACGAGCAGAGGCAGAGGTTTCACATGGCAATTCATCAGTGTACTTATTATTTGTTAGGGGGAAATATAGTAATGCGTACGTACATTAACTTCAGTGAACTGTTCAGGATTAGTGGGTGCTTTGCAAGCCTCGTGTGCGATAGGAGAAGATGGCGTTTTCATATTTCGTTGATGGGAGGAAGCTCTAGACTAGAAGGGAACAAATTGAATCAATCAGTAAATACCATATACTATTCTAGTGGTTAGTGGAAGAGCAGGAAACATAACCTAAACTGAATTTACTTCATTTATACTGGATATCATTCTCAGTTTTAAATGTTCTTTCGGGTGTACAGTAAGATGATCCTTTATTGGTCTAGTGTTACTACAGGAGGAATTATATAAAATAAACCATGGGCGGATTTACAGGGGGGGGGGGGGTTAAACCCCTTAGAATCTCCCTAAACCCTCTTATAAAGTGTTCAACCCCACTAAAATTTCGCTTCACCCCTCCTATTTTGTGTAAACGTCTCTAACGCTAACGCCTACACATCACAGTATCAACGCTACTATTTTGTTACGTCCTAGAGGTCCAGTAAGAGTCATCCCTTATTGATCCATGTATTACTACAGGAGGAAACATAAACTAATCAACTTTATTCACACTGGATAGCTCTATCAGTTCTGAACTGTTCTCCCTACAGGTCCAGTAAGAGTCATCCCTCATTGATCAAGTGTTACTACAGGAGGAAACCTTAAAAAAACTAACTTTATTTGCACTGGATAGCTCTATCAGTGTCTAAACTGTTCTTCTTATAGAGATTCAGTAAATGCCATGCACAATTGGTCCAGTGTTGCTACAGAAGGAAACCTTAACCCAATTAACTTTATTTATACTTGATAGCTGCATGAGTTCTTAACAATAGCAACAGCTGCTTACATTCTTCCCCCCTTCAGCGGGTAAATCCTTCGAGCATTCACGCACGCGAGTATTCTTTGCAGGCAGCACTTCGTTGCCTTCAAGTTGTTTCGTAGGCTAATAAAAATTGCAGAAAGATAAGGCATTAAATTTATAAAACTGCGATGAAGTTCCATTGCATATACATGCAGAGTGTATTAAAAAAAGGGTAATCGAACTTTGACAGATTATCGTGTGTTAATTGTTACGTTCAAAGGTTTTCTGTTTACGTGTTTATAAAGATTTGGGGCCGGTTGTTCAAAGCTGGGTTAACTTAAGGCTAGGTTAACTTAAAATTCAAAACAAACTTCCCAAGAGCTTGTTTATAAATTTGGAAATATTTCTTTGGAAATCTTGTCTGAATCAGTTGGAGTTCCCTTCTCTGAAGTTTTGAAATAAACAGACGTGCAGAAATACATAAACCAAAACAGCAGATTAAATTTTAACCGAGGGTTAGCGTTAACCCAGCTTTGAACAACCGGCCCCAGGCTTTTAGCTGTCATACCTTTATCGAATCATTGCGATAAAAAAATGACCAAATAAATTATGATGTGATTTAAAGTGGTCGGTTGAAATCGCATTTTCCACTTTTAGGATTTATGATCTTCCAATTTTCGAACATTTTCACAAATGTTTGTTGCCCATTCGTGAAAAGTATGGCACTGCGAGTTCTGTCTGCAAACTTCCAGTTCTGTAAGATGTTTTAACCACTCAATTTCGATGCAAAATTGCGAGTGGAAATTTACCAAAACTTAATGCTTACACATGCATTGATTCAAGCGACTTAAATTTTAATCCCAAAATCGCCAAATGAGAATAATTTCAACACTCAGACCACAACTTTACACGCAATTCCCCAACTGAAAAATGCGAATGGCTATTTTTGATCGCAATGATAGAAGAAAGATATCAATCAACAACTAAAAGCCTGATCTTTATTGGTATAAAAAGGTAAATGGTTAAACGTAATATTTTACTCAGGATAACATGCCAGAGTTGGATTATCTTTTTTTTCCTGTACTTGGTTTTTGTCAAACCTCTTTCCCTTTGCTTTGTTTATCCCAGTTTCGTGCTCGACGTTTGTTCCTTTCTTTTCTTGTTTTTAGACGCTTTTTCTTCTTCTACATATTTTGAATTTGAATAATTTAATTTAATTTTGAATAATTTAATTTGATTTATCACTAAGTAAACATACTTTACACACAGGTTACAATGTCTACACACTATTTACAGACGAAAGAATGTTTGGCCAGATGGTTGTGACTATAATATATACATCACATATCTATGTGTAATATAGCGTATGTTAGTAGCAAGGAAGTCGAATAGGGAAACCATTTCGGCTTATTTAATATCAAGCTTCCTTATGAGAAGAAAAGAAAAAATCAATAATTTACCAATATATAGAAGATCGACATATATGCTAGCTATTTGTTAGATATTATTAAATTGATAATTATCCTATACAGAATCAAATTAGACATATTTCAAAGTACAATTTCAAAGCTCAATCATCAATAAAGTAGTATTTTAACTTTGTTTTAAATGAATGGATAGAAAAGCAGTTCAACAATGCAAATGAAAGTCGATGAGAGTTGGCGGTCGAGAGTTGCAAGTCTCGTCAACTTTCTTTATATAATAACTACAGTGAAACACACAATTTGATTGGTCAATACCCGTCAATTTGGTCAATTTCATTTGCCTTTTCCTCCTGAATTATTAATAATGTTTAAATAATGTATTAATAAAGTTAGCCGTTGTTTCACTGTGACTATTTTATAAAACAAGTACCATGGGATGTTGCGAGACTTTTGGAAAGCGTTATAAAAACACGAGCTGCAGGTGACTGCATGAGGCGAGTGTTTTTTTACGCTTTCCGAATGTCGAATGTAGGCCTTGCATGAGCAGAAAGAAACAGATGTGATCATACTGACAAAAGTATTAGGACAATTCTATACCTTCGACGCTTCTTTTTCGGAATAAATGACATGCATTGGCAAACCATCTGAGATAGAACTATCAGATCCACTTGGGCTACAGTATGGAAAAATAAATATAAAATTATTGCACGCAAAAATGCTTTATGTTCGTCGACTTTCATGCATAGAGGGTGCGCTAAATCATGATTTTTAATTGCACCTCACTGGATAAAATTAGCAGGGTCGGATTTTGGTGGAAATGCTGGTGAGGTGGGGTAATTTTAGGGACGGTGCAGCGGTCTGAGTTAGGTTTTACGACCATGCCCCTATATGCTCACTTCCCTTGTGGTCGTTCCAGCACTCTGGCACCATTGGTATACAGCTGGCTATACTATCATTACATGTAAGGTTGAAATATATTTCTCCTTTTTTGTGCCATTGGCTTAACCAAAATTATTACTTTTGAAAATGTTTTGCACTTCCAGTGTGGCAGTTTTAAGCATGCCTATACGTGGTTTTCAAAGCAGAGTTAACGCTCAACTTGACCATTGCAACTTGACCCATGCACCTAGGAAAATCTTACTTCATCTCAACGCCAACCTCCCTAATCGTAAAAGCGCTGCGCGGTCCATGTGAAGACCTCAAAGCAACACATAAAAATTTAATAACAATCATTCAATGATTGTTATTCAATGATTGGTATTTTTAATCAAATTTTGATTTGATTCCGCAATGGGAGGTGCATGAGTTCTCAGGGAAGGTGAACAATTGTCAGGGAAGATGCAAAACGCACTTTACCCGCACCGTTTCCCGCACACAAACCTGGATTCAGAAGACATATAATCTTTCTCTAAATCAATATCAGTGGGTTTCATATCTGGCTCAGCTACGCCTTTCTCCTTCATTCGTGCCAACACTAAAGATTTCACGTAAACTTCCACTTCGTTCAAGACTGAGAAATACTAAATAAAAAGCAAGTAAGTAAGTAACAGTAGTATAGGTGGTAGCTATTTATCTAATATCAAGTACACAGGTTGTGGTTGCCACTTCACCTGACCAAAAGGCTCATGATACACGTGCTCGATTGTATCACAGAATAGAGACTATAAAGAAGGTCGACTCAGCCAAAAAAGCGTAACCGCCTGGCCACGATTCGCAATGATTCATCATCAAAATGCACTCGCCCTATCCTCCGAAACAGTTAAGAGGCGCTAACATATATGCTTAGTACTACTACCCACCTTGGACATATCTGGGTCACAGTAATCCAATAATGTATCACAGAGATGATAGCCCATCGATTCAAAATCTGCTGTCGTGAAATGTTCTCCTGCTCTGGAACCAAGTGTAGAACCGCAAAATGTTGCCTGGACAAAATAATAAAGGTTCAGATTTGACTTCCACTACGGATACCTCTCACAGGCTTAATATGCACTTAATATGAACATCTCTAATGTTTATACAGGCAATACACCGTCAACTCTGCTTTTTGTGTTTTTCGAGGTTTTGCGTAGTTTTGAGTTGTAACTTTGAGAGGGCAACATTAATTGGATTAGCTGTATTGAACTTCTAAACTATAGCAAACTACACTAAACTTAATTATTAATAGTATTTGGAAGTATTTAGTGCCTGCGAACGAAATTCATAACTTCAAAATGTGCCCGAAAAATTTAATCGTATTTAGGCTTTAGAAATAAATATTGTTGAACTATCTGCATTTTAATGAGATTTCAAAATGTGCTTGCACCAGTTGAAAAGGCGCCTGCGAGCGGCGCCCTTCCGCTTTTTCTAAATAGCTCTCCCAACTGTGTCTAAACTGTTCTCTCTATACATGTAACGGCTATTCATTTTGATACGCATACCTCCATTGTGTAGCTGTTGCTGATTCCTAAATTCCACATAACAACTCTGCCTGTGCCACTCTGAAAAAGAATGCAGATTTAAGCCTAAGTTGATTCACCAATGTGACAAAGAGTTGTGTATAATCTATAGAGAATGATTGTTCACTACCTTGCTCTTCTGCACTTTAAATTTGCATCGTTTGAAACAAAACTGCAAAAAATATAACCATGAGTTGAGGTGATCGAACCGACTTGACCTTGTAGCTCAGTTGATAGAGCATTGGACTAGGACCTTTAGGTCGCATGCAGGTTCGATTCCCACCATGGTCAAGTCATGGACACTTCGAGTAACATCAGCAAAAAAATCTAACCATGAATGTTAACACGAAACTGGACTACCCAATGGACTACCCGAATAAAACAACTGACGTCATCCCCTGCCAATCAAAACTTACTTTGTCTTCGCAGTTTTTTGACATCATCATTGGAAACACCCGTTCCTTGAATCCTTGATCAAGATTCGCTCGATCTTCACAGCCATATATAAACACATTTTGTTGTCGGCTGTGACCATGAAAATCGCAGTATAACGTGATCTCTCGCTCTTGACTCAACCTGAGGACAAAAGTGTAATATAAATCTTAAAGTCAGTTTAGTTTAGGTTTACTCCGGTAGAAATACAGGAGCAATAACGGATCGCCTTGAATGGGCCTCTGCAGGTTGAGAACTGATAGATCTATCCAGTATAAATAAAATTAAGAAAGTTTAGTTTATGTTTCCTCCTATATAAAATAGAACCGATATGGATTAATTTTGCTCAGTTTTTACCTTTCTGGGAAGAACTGTTTTAAGCTAATTAACGCATAAACCAATTTAATTCTGAAGAGGTATGATGATTAAAGTAGGTGTTTATTTATAACTCTAGCAGTTCTGAACTGCTCTCTATAGAGGTAGGCATTAATTGATTCATCGTCCAATGTTACCACAGGAGGAAACCTGAACTAAACTAAATTAATTTATACTGTATAGTTCTATCAGTTCTACACTGTTCTCCCTATAGCGATCCAGCAAAGACCATGCAGTTCCTTATCGATTCAGTGTTACTACAGGAAGAAACATAAACTAACTTTATTTATATACTGTATGGCTCTATCAGTTCTAAACTATTGTCCTTATAGAGGACCAGTAAAGATCATCTTCTATTGCTCCAGTGTTTCTACAGGAGGAAACCAAAAGTACACTAACCCTATATCGTTAGCTTTTCTAATTCTAAACTGTACTTCCTAGAGGTCCAGTAAGTTCCTTTTTGATGGTGACAGTGTCATTACAGGAGGAAACCTGTAACTAAAACTATAATAAACAATTCTGGAAAGCTCTGGTGACTATCTTTCTTACCGTTTAATCATCTCTCTAGTGTGCCACACTGACGGGAAAGCATCCTTCAAATTAGTCTTATAATTCCTGTTGAGATCCCGGCCGCTCAATGAGCAACGATAGTTACCCACAATGACTCCATCAGGGTTTAACATTGGTACGACTTTGAACACAAATGTATCTCGGAGTAGCTTAGCGTCCAAGGTATCACTGGTAAGGTAGTCTAGGAGACCTTTCATCATCCAGCTGGAATTGGTTTCGCCCGGGTGGACACGCGCTGTTAATACTACTGCACGCTTTCTCTGAAATGAAAGACAATGCAAGACAGTCAGACCTCTCTTCTATACCATTACAGAAACACAAAAAATTCCCACCTCGCGTCTTCAAATTAAAGACGAAAACAAAACAATTTTAAGACACACTACATTCCAAAAAATGTTTAATAATACTTGTTTAGATAATCCAGGGACCGGTTGTTCAAAGTTGGGTCAAAACGCTAACCTTCATGCAGTTAAAATTTAACCTACTGTTTTAGTTGAACTAGAATATTTTGTAGAGAAATTGACGAGCAACAGTCAATACAGATCCGTTTTATGCTTAGGTAATGACAATTTGTAAATTTGTCGATTTAAACAAATTATTTCAAAATCCTTTGGTTGAGTTATATTATAAAAATATATATATCTATAGCCTCCTCCGCAGGCATCTCTATGGGTTTTAATATTAAGTCGAAATGAAGCAAAACAAAAAGCATGGGAATCCTCTTGACTGAGCCCACAATAGCATGCAATTAATGCTCAGCGACATCACCATTTCTGTGCAATTTCCGGTCGCAAAAATTTTCTAGATCTGCTAGTGCTCGAAATAACGTGATTGTTTTTCGTTCTCCCAGACCCCACGCGTGATTCTAATAATTCTATAACGTTACTGTATAGAAACACGGAAAATATTGTCTATTTCTTACAGTTTCACATTGTATTGTAGATATATAATATAGTATAGTATATATACATGTACAATGTAGTTTCAAACCTTGGCTTCCAAAGGACATTTCGACGGACTAGTAATAGTCATTAAATACACGAAGTTTCCAGCTAAGGTTCTGGTCAACGTTCTCTGTTTACAATATTGTGCTCGGCTTGGATCTTTACTTAACTTGCTTAAATATTCCTGAAAAAAAATTAGGAGTATCACTTTTGTATTCTTAACATGGCGAAGCAAATATTGTCATTTAGGGCGAGGAATGAACCTTCAGTTGTCATTGTAATGAGGGAATGCTGATCATCTTTCTTTGCAGTAGAATTATAAGGGGCTATAAATTCACGTATTTAGGTACAAGAGGTACGCAAATATTACGGCCTGGTACGACCCAGCGCGTTTTGTGATACCTTCAATTTTTGTTCAGAAATTGTGCTGGCAATAATCGTGACGTGCACAAAATCTCACAGGGTTCGTACAGGTGAGTAAGAGTTAAATTCAAGGACTTTCAAAGCCATATATCAAGAAATTCAAGGCCTAAAGGGCTGAAAAGAAGGCGTTAGAAGTGACGTTAAACGTCAATTTTAATGAATTTTAAACAGCTTTGGCCTTTGTAAGACATGAACAAAATCAATTTACGAAATGTCTAATTCTTAATGCCAAACAATTTCAGAAAATATCCATTAAAGTAAGAACAATTGAAGGACTTTCAAGCACTTCCTCATGAACTCAAGGAGTTTCAAGGCCTTGAATTTCTGTTTCCAAATTCAAGAACTTTCAAGGATTTTCAAGTCTTGTACAAACTCTGTCCCATGCTCCAACAAGCTTTTCTAAACAGCAACCACGGAGCCCAAAAATCAAAAGACGATGTGAAAATCGTGCTCAATTTTGTGAAGTATAGGGCTTAATCGTTTCGTTGGTCAAAAGAAAAGAATATTTAAAGTTTTATTAATAATTGATAATTTTCAGTTAGGCGTGTTGGTGCATTGAGGGGAGTAGCCTGCGTAGCGGCTGTCAGAGAAGGGATAGCCTGCACGAAACCCCATGCTAAACCGTATTTACTCGTTCTCTCAGAGGACGAGAAATCTGATTGGTTCAAAATGAAAAAATATGCTAATTTATGCTAAAATTCATACAAACACGGCGGATGTATTATTATTGAGAGGCGTTTCTTTGAGTTTTGCATTCAAAAGAGCTTAAAGGTTACAATTTACGGTTGAACAATAAAGGTATTTACGAACTTGGTTCACGAAGCTCTAGAGATATTGACTGTGGTGTCTTCATTGGATTGATGTCTGTTAGCAGCGCCTCTTTCACAAGCGTGTTCGTTTTAATCAATTCATCGACGACAAATAGATTTTTTCTTCATGATTTTGTAGCTAATAATTTTGTGCCAGGAGAGAATTGCTGTAAATGCTTATGTCTTATGAACAGGACTTGCTCTCTCTGAAGTGATGGCTTTAGACACCTTTAATATTCTCTTCTCTGCATCGCCCGAAACTTTAACATTTAAAACATCACGGTTGACCGCTATCGAAACTATAAATTATATTTGTAGGCTACTTGTGCGAGAAAGCTACGAAATATCGTAGATACGGATTGCAAACTACTTGTGACAACGATGAAGATTGCCCTAGGCCTAGCGCTATTCCCACAGACTTCAATTTTCTTTAGACATCCGTATATTATTTCGTTTAGAAATTTGCGAACATACAGCAATCTATATTTATATTTCATTTTGACAAGTACATTTGCAACGTAAACAATCTGTGTGATTGGCCAATTTTGACATCTATTTAAAGTGGGCGTAGCCCGCAGGCTAGGTGGGCGGAAATGGTTTGGCATGGGGTTTCGTGCAGGCTCTCCTTTCTCTGAGCCGCTATGCAGGCTATGAGGGGAGTGGGGGTAATGGGTCCCGCACTTAATTAAAAAAAGCCGTGGGCGGAGGGGTCCCACGCAACCATAATCTGGCCTTGGCTGTTGCGTCCTGGTAGCTAAAGGGTCCTTACTGTACCCTCGACCTACAGAAACAGGCTTGACTCATTGGTAAGAGAACGTACACTGATCGTATCTGCAATCACCCAAAACAACCACCCTTGTTTTACTATCTAGAATATATACCTGTAAGTCGGTGTATGTATATGGATAACAATGAGCAAAATAGCAGCGATCTCGTGCACGAGGAAATACAACAGTCCAACTCAATGAGTACAAGGAATGTTCACCTTTAGCGTCTTCTCGCCTAAGAATAAAATAAAGCTGTGTTCCAGCTGCGAACCTTGGCCTGAGCTGAGTCAAGCCAGAGCCAGGTCAGGGTATTTGTGATTCGTTTACACTACTTATATCGCCACAAGGCTTAACCTACGCCAACGATTGTAGTATCTCAAATATTCTTGCCGAGCTATCCAGTATAAATAGAGAGTTTAAGCTTCGCGTTACACGTCAAACGGCAAACGCCAGGCAAAGAAAAATTTTACGGTATCAGGCAATAAAGAGTAAATGAACTTGCTGTTTTAAAACTGAAATACATAATTATTCTTTCGACGCAAGAAAGAAAATATGAAACGAAAACGTTCAACGAAAATTTTGCTAAGAAATTTCCTACCTGCCGTTTGCCGTTCCCGGAAACGTGAAGCTTAAACTCCCTAATAAAGTTAATTTAGTTCAGGTTCCTGAAATAGCTATAATAACACTGGATTATTATTATTATTATTGTTATTATTATATTATTATTATATATATGTTATTATTAAAATAATGCCAAAGTGAAGAGATTTTAGATGGTACGCCAAAGAGAAAACGATGTCTGAATTTAAGTTAGTGTTGCTTATATTGCTGTATAAATACGGCGTCAATTTTACAGCATCAATGATAATTGTATTTAAATTGACAAAATTTAATTATTATTTTGTGTTTCTCAACCGCCAGACACATTTAAAAAGGTTGCTAAATGTGTAAACTAGAAAATGAAGCAATTTTCAGAGGAACCGCCAACCAAAATGATTTTGGTTTTGAACATTTTTCATCGCAAATACGCGACATTGAAAAGTTACCTCAGTGACTCAGTCTTAAACATATTTGACCAGAACCTGGCTTTAGTTTCCTGATTTTCAAAGGGCCTTGCTTAAAATCTTCATTTTAAAACAATAAATTGTCTAAATACTAACGGTACTACTACTATCAGAGAACCGACTTAATCTAGATTAACTGTTTTTGTAATAAGCATTTAAACAAATTTATATAGAGCTCCTCATAATTGTTGACAATTTCGTAGCTTGTTCCACGACATGAAAAGTTTTTCTTTAAAAAATTTGTTTTCGTTTTTGGTATATATAACTTCCGAGGTCCGATCGACTGATAGAATTAGCCAGTGTAGATAAAGTTAGTTTAGTTTAGTTGCGAATTTGGTACATAATACTATATCTAAGGTATTCTTACTTTAGTTCATTTTTATAATATTTGATATTAGTTCCAACTCGTCTCCAACCTATTCCTTTCTCTCTGGCTTCTTGTTCAGAGTACATCAATGGTTTCATACCACAGCTGTACAGACTTTTTGACTACACATAAAAAGAAATGATAGGGAATTATCTGGAATTAATGAGAGGGAATTACTGTTTTCATTTCTATGCAGTAGTAATGTATCATGGTGGTCATTCATGATGGTGTCATGGTGATATTGATGTTGGTGGTGGTGATGATGGTGGTCATGCAGTGATAATGACGATGATGGTGGTGATAATGGTGGTCATGGTGATATTGATGTTGGTGGTGGTGATGATGATGGTAGTAATGATGGTGATGGTGGTCATGGTGATATTGATGATGTTGGTGATGGTGGTGATGATGATGGTGGTGGTCATAGTGGTCATGGTGATATTGATGATGATGGTGATAGTGGTGGTCATAGTGGTCATGGTGATATTGATGATGTTGGTGATGGTGGTGATGATGATAGTGGTGGTCATAGTGGTCATGGTGATATTGATGATGATGGTGGTGATGATGATGGTCATAGTGACATTGATGGTGGTGATGATGGTGGTGATGATGATGGTGGTGATGATGGTGGTGGTGATGATGGTGGTGATGATGATGGTGGTCATGGTAGTCATGGTGATATTGATGATGATGATGGTGATGATGATGGTGGTCATGGTAGTCATGGTGATATTGATGATGATGGTGGTGATGATGATGGTCATAGTGACATTGATGGTGGTGATGATGGTGGTGATGATGATGGTGGTCATGGTAGTCATGGTGATATTGATGATGAGGATGGTGATTATGATGGCCATGGTGACATTGATGATGGTGGTGATGATGGTGGTGGTGGTGATGGTGACCAGTGATGATGGTGGTGGTAATATTGATACTGATGATGGTTATAGGCATGGTGATAATAATAATAACAATAATAATAAAATAGACTACCTTCATTAAGTTCATAATGGTGAATCTGTAAACTTTTCCAGGTTGAGTATTTTCAACTCTAAAGTAGTACCACTGGGTGTACTTTTCTGTGTACAAATCTGTCCTTAACCATAACTGATAATCACAAGGACCACTGCAAAGTAACAACATGTAAATAAAAAAATAAATAAAGATGAGGAATTATACAGGGTGTCTCAAAAATGCAATATCTATGTTCCAAATTTATATGCAAGCACCAAATTTACTATTTTAAAGCAACCTACATTTTAATAGCCTTTGAGAGATTTCCACTCTCGAACCTTGACTCAAAGCAGAGTGTGTCCGATGAGCTGACAGACTGAGATTTTTCAGTGCCATCTCCACCATTTTGTGAACTATCAAACTGGAAAATTGGAAGCGTTGTAAAATAAATACAAAAAATACAGAAACAGTTTCTAGAAAAAATTAAATGCTCTTACGAATTTTGAATCACCAAATGTATTTTCATACACGACTTTGCCATCTTCATGTTTTTTTAAAGCTGGAAGGTTGTCTGGAATTTCTCCTAAAATATCTAAATCATCCCATTTATCAATATAAATTAATAGCTTGAATTCCATGAAGAGTCAAAGACTTTGTGTATTATAGCCCCATTTTAAATATATAATACCAAATTACCTGAATTGTAAAATTTTTCAGGTTCGTGAGGTAGACTGTCTAGATGCTCAGGTCGTTCTGAAAGGACTTTCATGTCTGCCGGCCTAGAAAATAACAATTCATATTTTGGAATCATAATAAACGTATGTTCAGACAGCCGAGATTCATCACTGTAAACTGTGAAACTTACCACCGGGGTATGTTGATAGAATGATTATATTTACTGGCCACTGTATAAAGATTTCTTGGTTCTCTCAACTTTGGGACCTGTCATATAATTAGTAAACAAAAATATGACCACCATCAATCATTATCACCATGATCAGCACCTCCATCAACATCATCATCAATATCATCACCATCATCATTTAATATCATCATCATCATCAACACAATTACCATTATCATCATGATCATCATCATGTACCACCATCACCATCATCATCATCACCACCATCATCATCACCATTATCACCACCATCATCACCACTATCATCACCCCATCATCACCACCATCATCATCACTACCATCTGATCCATTATCATCACCCATCATCACCACCATTATTATCACCATCACCATCATCACCACCATCTGATCCATTATCATCAACCATCATCACCACCACCATCATTATCACCATCACCACCACCATCATTATCACCATCATCACCACCATCTGATCCATTATCATCAACCATCATCACCACCATCATTATCACCATCACCATCATCACCACCATCTGATCCATTATCATCAACCATCATCACCACCATCATTATCACCATCACCATCATCATCACCACCATCTGATCAACTATCATCACCCATCACCACCACCATCATTATCACCAATGTCACCATCATCATCACCACCATCTGATCCACTATCATCATCCCATCATCACCCCATCATCACCACCATCATTATCACCATCATCACCATTTTTCACCACCATCATCAATACCATCACCACCATCATGGCAAGATAATAGTTTTAAAAACTGACTTACTTTCTTGCCTTCTTTGTAGCTCACAATAAGTTGTGTTGTTCTATTATAGTCATTGCTTATCCTCCAGTCTGATAAAGAATTTAGTAAATACTTAGAATTGTCATGCTCCTGTTTGTCTTAAATTTACAAACTACAGGGTGTGTTCGTGGTTTTTTTGCTTAAATTTACAAACTACAGTCAGTGGCTGTTCGATTTTTGCTAAAATTCACAAACTACAGCGTATGTCACTGGATTACATGATAACGATGTTAAATTGTATCATCTATGCTGGTTATAATATTAGTTTGTAATAACTTCCATATGTACTTTAATTACTATAATTACAACTGCCAACGTGAATGCCGAGGGGTGCCAAAGGAATTTACGGTAATTTCATTTTGCACCTCGGCAAAAAAAATTGCTGAGGCAAACTCGAAAATTATCGAAAGATGTCGGCAATTATTTGTGAAAAAAAATAGTTGAATTACGGGGGTTGTGGTGCCTACAAGTGCAAATCTGTGAAAGGCTGTTCTGTTGTGCAAGTTTTCAGACTACAAACTGCTCAATGTGTGAAAATTCTTTTTCTCATGAAATTAAACAACTATTTTGTCTAATTTACTTCGTGTTGACAATTGACATAATGCAATCCATACGTCGCAGTAGATTCCATGTGATTAAATAAAATCCCCCAGATTATACCCAACCTGACCCCTTCAGAGCACATTGAAATGTACAGTACATAAATTTTGGCATAATGCAATTTGCTTTGGAGAGTGATACAATTCTGAAAATAATGTAATTTTATGCTTTTTGTTATATATAGTATTCTTGTATTTAGTAAACAAATAGAATTGAAAGATGTAGTCTATGTTATTTAATTGTTCCCATATAAAATATGAACATATACCTGGGAACTGCACTGTTTTGCCATAACTAAACCTCTTTCCAGAATGAATTCGTTTCTTAACGTCCTTCTTTTGAGCTATTTTATCTTCTTTAAGTTGCATTTGTGTTTCCATAGCTGCCATCATCAGTCATGTCAATCTTTGAGTTTGCAAACTATAACCGTCCATCTTGTTAAATTCATTTAAAATGTTTAAAGCGGCTAAAACACGCCGGTTTGAACAATATTTCACCGTTGTAAACATCACGAATTCATCAGGAAGCGGCTTTATAATCCTTAGATACAGCTCCCTGAAATTCAAAGCAAAATAGCAATGTTTAAAGGCAGAATTCCAATAAAATTTGACCCCTTTGACATTTAACCAAACTCCTTGGAGATATAATGTTGACTTTTGCAAAGGATTAACAAAGATATAATTTGCATTAGACACAAAACAAACTGAACAATTACCTTAGAAAATATATCAACCGTCTGGCAAACAATCATTGTCTTATGATTGCATTAAATTGACAAGAAAAGCAAACAAAATGCACTCAAATTTGTACAAGAGAATTCGCCATTTGCATTTTGGCGGAATTTAAAGGTCAAAGATCGTGGGGGTAAAATGGGTTTAAAATGGATAAAGTTAGAATTGAATTTTAGGTATTTCCCGACTTCAGAAAAAAATAAGTCAATTTTGTGGGTAAATCTATTTAATTCTTGCTTGTTTTCAACTAAATGATTCCCAAACATATTTTAGGTTAAAACTGGTATCAAAAAGCTGTCAAAATTAGTTTTATAGTCGACTTTTAGGCCTTCGACAAAATGCGTATTTTTTTAAAGAGGTGGTATTTGTTGATGTATAGGGATTCGTATAGCTACAACACCGACTTTCGTTCTTTGCTCTGATTGGTTGGTTTCATGTGGCGAAAAAAACAAACGTTTTGAACTTTGAAGTTCAAAACATAATAAACATTTTTTGATTCACAAAAAGAAAGCAAAAAACGTGCAAAAAAGTTATATTTTAAACCTGCAATACTATTATTGGATGTTCCAAGACACAAATACAAGTGTGAACGGTTTTTCTGGATTTGGGAAAGCCGCGAATGAGCGAGGTATTGGAAATTTTGCGAGTCCTCGTCAAGCCCAAATGAAAAGTCCAAAAGACCTTCCCTCGAGCGCTTTTAAAGTTTATGATAGGGTTTTGGAAAAGCATCGCTACGTTCCTCGCCAATGGACACAAGAGGAGTTCGAATCTGCTTTGCCTGAGCGATTTAAATGGAAAACAACCATCTCAGTTCATAATTCTGAAGCTGTCTTTCAAAAAGAAATAAACGTTGATGAATTCGACTCTCGCAATGACAACAAAGCATTTACGCCAAGTGAAAATACATACCAATCTTCACTGAGTTGCTCAAATCCTCAAAAGAAAACAGAAGTCAAGGAAAAGATTAAAAGTCTCAAGGCAATTTTTGAGAAAGCTGGCAATTCAAATGCCGATTGTAAAACGAGTAGAGCTATGGATGAATTGGACAGTTTTGGAAAAGGTGAAACGGATGTGGCGGAAACAGAAGAGCTAGAAAGATGCAAAGATAGCGAAGCGAAGGTGAAATTAATCGAAGAAGGAGATTCGATCGAAAACTATAACGAAAATGCAGAAATGGTAAACGAATTTGAAGAAAATGAAGAAATATTAAACAATATTTTAGAAACAACCGAAAGTTCTCACAATAAATTTGCCTCTTTCCTGGATTCTGTCCTGCGGTGCCTTTTGGACATGGAACCGTTTGTCGAACTATTATCAAACGTGTCTGAAAATAACCCCATCATAGGCAAGCTTAAGCATCTAATGGCATCGATTGAAAATCCAGGGCAATTGGTCTCTGAGGATTTATTCTTAGAATTTTGGGAGAAATTCTCGGATTTTCAGAACTGTGATGACGTGCTGGTGAGATTTCTGGAAACACTTATTGAAGAAATAGGACAAGCCATTGGGGGAAATGCAGGCAACCTTCGTTCCTTGATCCAGGGAAAGTTTAGCCATATTAAAACGTGCGATCGTTGTGCATCAGTTACAAAGGATTCCGAACCATTCTTGTTTCTTAACCCAACAACGCCGCCAGTACATTCATCAAATAACAGCGTATTGGACATAAATTTCGTATCATGTAGTTCGGAAGGTGTTTGGTATATCACAACCCGGCAATTTGTTATCAAGAGTGGAATGACGGTAGCTCATCTTGTTGAAGAATTGCTTAGCTGTCCTGAGTTCAATACTTGTGATCCTAGGTCCATACGCTTAGGAAAAGTGATTGGAAGTCGACTTGTCAAGACGTTCGATAATGGTGTTGAGCTATCCACGACTGGATCCGACTCAGATATATTCGCGTTTAATGTCTTAAGTTTCAGCAGCGAGTTCTCAGAAGGCAGCAATGCATTGAGTAGTACAGCTACTATGTCCTATCATCTGCTCTTCAACTGTGGGCTATGTCTTAGTGATGGCAAGGAAATCGGCTTGTTCATTCACAAGAATTGTGGCGGAATGATTTGCCGCGATTGTTTAGATGTAATCACACAATCCTATCAAGATTGGGAGCTGTGCCCGTGTCCAATTTGTGAACAGCCAATCGACCTGGACAAGGAGCTGTGTAGAGCTCGGATGAGGAGCGGAATGCCAAAAGAATTGAATCATACATCTATAGTGTCCAATGTTTTGTGTGAGGTTATGTTCCGAGCTGATAAACACATCGATGGAGGTATCATTAATTAGAGAGGTTCAAATTTTGACTTCTACAACCGCTATCTTTAACCAATCAGATGCGTTTAATCTACACGATTAACCAGTAATGGTAGTGGGAGTCAAAATCTGAACTTTTCTACTATTGGATATAGATCGATAACTTTAATTTATTGAAATAGGGTAAAGCCCTTTTTTCCCCACAAAATGTCCTGTTTTGCTCATATTTTTTCCGCTGATAAGCCCTTCTTCTTCCCTCTCAATAGCTACTTTTATTCATTTAGGTACCGAGATATTCGGTTGCCCCTTGATGGTATCCCTTTCACAACAAGTAACAGGGTACCATCTATATCGCTGTATTGGTTATCTACTTCCAAACGCATTGCCAATGAAAGATCGAACCTCGTTCACTTTACACACTGTGGACAAGTGTGGTCATGGCTGTTCCACGTGTTCTCTGGATTCGTGTAGTGGTTGTCTTATCCGTATTGATGACAACGTCAGAATTACACGCGACACAAACCTGGTTGTACATTTTAATGATCTGGCTGAGGAATCAAAGAAAAACTTTGGAATACTAAATCCTTGCGGAACTCCAGCTTCGAATTCGCAAGGTGGGTTTGGTGGCCTTTGGTTTCGGAATATAACAATTTTGACTTCAGAAAGAGAGCTGAAAGTATAGTTATACTTGATATATGATAGACTAGACTGTTTATTGCATTTTTGTCCCAATGGCCTCGTTTTCATGTAGTTATTCCTTGCTTTGCGCGTACGATAGGTTTAAGAATGAATGAAGACGAATGAATGAATTTATTTGCCACACATATTGTATAATTGCATAATTATGAAACAAATATAGAGTGGCAAGGAGACCTCTCATCAGGCTTACTTTTGAGATTACTTCGAGATATTAATTTATCCTTCTGTTATGTGGAAATTTAACTTATAGTGCATGCGTTTGTGGGGCTGGTATTAATGAAACAGGAATTCTATCATAGTTTTCTTAAAACTATACAGAGTGAGTGATTGTGATTGGACTCAATATCAAAGAGAAACACATTCGTGCATGAAACATGGGGTTATAACCTTCATGTGGTGCCTGCCATGTTAAAACAGGCAAACACGAAAGCGTTGCTATTGGGGCAAGAGTGTAATGAATAGTAAAGTTTATCACAGAATATAATTAACATGAGCTCACTTTTAAGACGGTTAGAATGTGGTCCTTTGCATACCACTTGTCATAACATTTTTGCTATGCAGCCACGATCCATTGATCGGAATGTTTCATTGTCTTTTCATTGTTTTGAAAATCGTATTGTTCTGACATCTTTCTCCTAGGTTTATTCGACGGGATTCTACAATCGTGTGTGCGAGCAGCCACTTCTGATGGGATGATTTGTTCGAAGTGTTTTGATGCTTGTAAGGTATTAGTATGATGTCACACCTCGTTTATCTCTACCCGAGGGCCACTAGGGGCGAATACAGCATTTCTGTGACAGTGCTACTCTCGTTAAATAAAGTTTATTGATTGACTTAGTAATTGTTAATTGATTGATTTATTTAGTTGATTAATTGATTGATTAATAATTAGCTGATTAAATAATTAGTCGATTAACTAATTGATTGATCATCATTAGTTGATTGAATAAATTGTTGATTAATTAATTAGTTGATTAATTAATTAATTATCTGATTGATTATTTGAATGACTAATTGATTTATTATAATTAGTTGATTGATTTGATTGATTGATCGGTTAATTAGTTGATTAACTAATTATTGCTTGATTAATTGATTGATTACTTAATCGATTAATTGAAGGTATCATCATCGATCGCAGAATTTCCACGGCTTCTCCTGATTCATCTTAACAAGCTGTATGCGGATAAAGGTTTGCCTCCTGACACAAGCGTCGCTGACGTATCCAGGTTTGTTTTATTTTGTGTATATGTTATCAGATTCATGAAGCACTCGTCAATCGGTGGTCATAAACATCAGCAGTGGCCTGTTGTATGAAACTCTTAACTAGTAGTTAAACTGCTGCTTTGTAGTTAAATAGTAGTTAACATTGTAAAACTCGTTTATAATTCATGATAAAATTCAAAAGAAATCAGTGTTTGAATCCGCATATACAAAATTCACCTCATTTCCATAAACTGATTTGCATAAACAGGCATGCAAATTAAACCAAATCTGCAGGTTTTTTATATTTGCTAACAATTAAATACGAGACTACTACATATAATAAGAATAATTATCTTTTCACTTGCAATATTATAACTAATTTATCAGCGACAAAAACTAATTCACAAAAACTAATTCATTTCAAATTCAGGTTTCTTGTGCTACAGCATGGAAATGATTTAACTGAAAGGACAAAGGAGAACCTAACCTACCAGTTAACAGCTGTTGTCCTCGCGGATGAAAGTAGTACAGTGCCATCATACAAGGCATTCGTCCCAGAAATAACTAACGACACTTGGTTGCTATACGAAGAATCCCATGCGAGGGCAATTAAACCAGATCAACTTCGCCTCACAAAAAACAGTGTCCTGTTCTATCAACCCGTCCTAAATTCAGATCCTCCCAAAGTAGGACATGTTCTTCAAATGCCATTACTTGGGCAAAGAGAAGACACGCGCAAAAGTAAAGAAGTCCATCATGTGGGGAACGGTGTCTATGGTAGAAAGCTTGCTACCATATCTGAAGAAACAGGCAATACAATGGATTTCAAGAGAACTGCCAAGAAACAAGCATTGCGTTCAAAGATTTACGACAGACAACTTGAACCGGGCGAATACCGGGTGCTAGGAGCAGGTATACTACTTTATGTGTCTGTTATTGAAGCCTGCCAATATTTGAGTATTTTTTTACATGAACGTCTGGCTTGGGAAAATTGAGTAATTGATTATTACCTATGCTACGACTTCAAACTACTTTATTGTGTTCTATTGTGTTCTATTGTGTTCTATTGTGTTCTATTGTGTTCTATTGTGTTCTATTGTGTTTTATTGTGTTCTATTGTCTTCTATTGTCTTCTATTGTCTTCTATTGTCTTCTATTGCCTTCTATTGTCTTCTATTGTCTTCTTCTATTGTTTTCTATTATTTCCATTGTTTTCTATTGTCTTCTATTGCCTTCTATTGTCTTTTGTTGTGTTCCGTTGTTTTCTATTGCTTTCTATTGTCTTCTATTGTTTTCTATTGACTTCTAATTCCATTACCTTCTTTTGTCTTCTTCTGTTGTCTTCTGATGTCTTCGATCAGTGTATTCTAGTGTATTCTATTCTATTCTCTCACTACTGTATTCTAGTGTATTCTATTCTCTATTGTATTCTGCTGTATTCTAGTGTATTTTATTATATTCTACTGTGTTCCAGTGTATTCTATTCTACTATATTCTATTGTGTTATACTTTATTCTAGGGTATTCTATTCTATTTTTTACATGAACGTCTGGCTCGGGAAAATGAACAATCGATTATTCCTTATGCTACGACTTCTATAGTCTTCTATTATCTTCCAGTTCTATTGCCTTCTATTGTGTTCTTCAGTTGTTTTCAATTGTATTCTACTGTATTCCACTGTATTCAATTCTAATTCGAGTGTATTCTATTATATTCTATTGTATTCTACTGTATTTTATTCTATTGTATTCTATTCTATAGGCGCCATAAAACAGGATATCTACAGCTCTCAACTTTCTTTGGGTGAAATCGTTCATAATGCAGACATCCCTCTTTGTCTATCTGCCGATTTTGATGGAATCAGTCCAATTTCCGCGCAAGAGACATGCCACAGTGGCTCGAAGCTGGTGCGGGAAACAAAGAAATTAATCCGGGCAGTGAAACGGGAGGACGCATATGGAATTGTGTGTGCCTTAAAGCGAGGAGCAAATCCGTGTTTGTTGATCAATGATGTCTCAGCACTACATTTGGCTGCTGGTATCAAATCTGACCAGCGATGCTCCATGGTTAGTATAGATCTTCATGACAATTTTTGAGTGGATTTGAAATCTGATGTTAGCACTCTATAAATAGATATAGTACCCCTATCATCAACATTTAGGGGTAAAATTGCACACTTCAACCTTAATTTTTCACATTCACTCCCCTTCTAGATTTCGTATTTTTTGAAGTACGCCAATAATGTAAACATTGCGACTGCAGATGGAACCACGCCCTCGCACGTGGCAGCTGCGTGGGGGCACCAGGACGCTTTGGAATTGCTGCTAACCCATGGTGGGGATGCTTTCGAGTTGACAGATCAAGAGGGTAACAGCGCATTCGACCTTGCTTCCAAGGATTGTTCCAGTTTTCTTCAACTTTTATATCAAAATAGTGGAAACTCACCTGGGTCCTTCGAACCTTCGACAAGCTCACGAGCTTCATTGGCAAACCAAAAACCCAAGAGGCTTGAAGATATTGTCCGTTCAAATGTGACCCTTCCGTCTTTCGTGCACGAAGATGACACAAGTCGTTCTCGCTTTCGTCTTCGTTGGCTTAAAAGATTTCGAAGTTTTAGGAACAGATATTCGGGAGTTTTCAGAAGTCTTAGACGGATGAGCAGCATTAGACGGCGATCGCGCATTGGAGTCATGGTCCAAGAGAATGAACCAGAACAAAATATTGCTGAGAAATTGTGAGTTTAATTAAGGGCGGATTTCCACGTGCAGAGTCGTCGAAATATTTCGCTTGATTTCTTTTGAATTGTGACCATCCGCATAAATGGTCAGTTCTACTTGACCGCACGCAATTCAAAAGAAACCGAACGAAAAATGTCGACAGCGAAATTTTGCTAGCAAGTGGGAATCCAGCTAGACTGTTTTAATAGATGATTCCCCTTATTACGTTTTCGTAGCGCTTTGCATTGTGGTTATAGTGGTATCACTGATAAAGATAGCGGCCTCGAATGAAAATATTGTCTATCGTGCACCTGACCCTAGCTTTTTTAAAAGTTCTTGCACGGGTCGGGACAAAAAATAAGCCATCTTGAATATCAGTGATACCACTATAACCACAATGCAAAGCGCTACGAAAACGTAATAAGGGGAATCATCTATTGGTGGGTTTTGGAAAGCGTTGTCGAGCAGCAGATGGTGGCCAACTTACTCACTGCATTTAACTCAAAAACCTGGGTAAAATAATACACCCAAGTTTATGTTGTCAGGTAACTACGTGAAGCGTTCCTCTTTTGAGTTCCTAACTCATTTGGAATTTTCATAATTAGCTTTGCAAATTTGAAAAACTCTTTGCAAATCCTTGAGGGAATTTGAAATTTTCCTGTCGGCCGTTGCAATATTCCAACGCAAAGAAAGTTCCTTTCAAATTTCCCTAACTTCCTGTTTTAATTTCCTGACTTCCTGTTCTGTTCTGTTCTGTTCTGTTCTGAGCGTTGTCATTGGCAGATTATTTTTGTTAGCCAATTACAATGCGCAGAACAGAACAGGAAGTTAGGAACTTGTAACAGGAAGTTAAGAACTTCTAATAGGAACTGAGGAAAATTTATTTGGCTCTTAAGAACATTGCAAATTCCCTCAAGGGATTTGCAAGGGAGTTTTTAAAATTTGCTAAAGTAATGATGAAAATTGCAATCAAGTTAGGAACTTAAAAGAGGAACGCTTCACGTAGTTTACCTGTAATGTTTTGAGTAAAGATTTATTTAACACTGAATAGATAAGATTTTGCCGTTGTCTGTTCAGTTATAGATACACACTATGACGTCATAATGCATGTGGGAAGAACAAAAAAGTGTCACGAGCCGCCGAGGCGAGTGGGTCACGTGCACACTTTTGTTCTTCCTACATAATGATGTCATACTGTGTATCTATAACTGAACAGACAACGGCAAAATCTTATCTATTTGTTTTATATAATAAAAAGCCATTTTAAAATTTGAAAAAGTCGAAATTTCACAAATTTGTTTGATGACATTTGCTCAGTGTTGCAAGCTGCTCGCAGACGTTTGTATAGTCAGCTTATTAGGTCTTTGAGAAGAAGACTATATATGTTTTGGCTTTATAGCCGAAAAGTTGAGAATTTTAAGATATTGGCTATTAAAATGCAAACATTTCAAGTTCATTTTTAACAAAAATAAACTGTGCCATTAGAAATTGCGCGAAAAAGAATATATAAGACATTTAAGCGAGTAGTATGATTTTCTTTGCCATCTTTGAGCTCCTTTAACTCAATATCGACTTGAAAATTCGCACTATACTCCCTTTAATGTCTCTCTTGCGATATTTCTAGTGGTATAGTTTATTTTGTGAAAAGTAAACTTGAAATTTTGCATTTTTGTCAGCATAGTACTTTTAATAGGCAATATTTTAAAACTCTCAAATTTTCGACTATAAAGCCAAAATCAGAGGTGCCAATATAAATATAGTCTTCTTAATATACAAGTACTCTAAGAAAATGCCATCAAAGTGTAACTTTCAGAAAATGAGTAAATTTGCTCACAAATTTGAGTACGTTTTCTCAGCATGTTTTTGAGTCAAAAACTCAAAATGTTTTGCAGTGTTTATTTATTTATTTATTTATTTATTTATTTATTTATTTATCTTACAACTATATATCAGAATGCAAATGGTTTTAAAATAATTTGTTAAAGAATGGTTGAGCGTGTGATCAACATTCCATGTGAAGACCAATCTGCAAAACGTATACTGAACATATTATTTTAGACAAGGACAATGCACTATTTTCATGATTTGGAAAATTAAGAACTATACCATTTGCTGTACGACAGCGTTTAGTAAAACCCACTTCTATTATAGTGAAACTTTAACAAGCAAATGCAACGAGAGTTTACAGTAAATTTTGCCTTTTTATTCCCATGTTAATATTTTAATACATTAAATAATATAATAAAGATGGAATTAATGGTGTAAAATGAATGCTTATGTATATTAAAAATTTGTATAAAATCAATTATTCATATTACATAAATATACTAGGTTTTATTTTATATAAATATTTAGACATATGAAAATTTATGACATATGAAAATCTCGTTCATAAGAATATTAAGGTTTCATTAATTCTCGTTCATAAGAATATTAAGGTTTCATTAATTCTCGTTCATAAGAATATTAAGGTTACGTCAAGAATTTACAAAGAATATACCCAGATCGTTCAAAAACATCTTTCAGAGAAATGTATGAAAGCATATATGCTGTCTATGGTTATGCTATGCTGATCTATTACAAAGAACTGCAAAAGAACCTTATGGTGCTGTAATCAGAAATTTAAGATTGTCATAAGTATGTCTTAAGCCTAAATTTGTCGGAAAAATAGAAATATCCAAAGGTTTATCTTTTTCCGAAGTGACATTTCAATAACATTAAGCCACCCCAACCGAGTGGGCGATGACTACTAGGACCAGCATTCCTCGCGGGCATCAAGCCTTGTGACGTCATTATGCATAAGGTCTATTGCAATATAAAACAACGGTAACTCCGAAAATAAACATTTTTAATATTCTAGCTTTCGACTAAGATTCAGTCATCATCTTAGTCGAAAGCTAGACTATTAAAATGTTTATTTTCGGAGTTACCGTTGTTTTATATTTTATTAAAATACTCAGTGGTTCCCGTAATTCTATTGCAATAGCTGCAGAAGTACATGTGTTACTCATTCACTATGAATAACATGGTACAAGCATTTTTATGCATGTCTTTTGTAAAGATAAAATATACGGTAGTTATCGGGGGAACTTAAAATTTATTGTTAAGGTAAGGCGGGAACCGAAAATCTAAGTTTGACTAAGGGTGGGGTCCGGGGAAAAAGTAAGAAAATTTGTAAAAATCACCCATGCCTCTGCCCCCATAAATAATGAACGGTCCCTTAGTAAACACATTTGATTCAATAATCAAGGGGGGAGCCTCCTTAGCTTCCTTGACTAATAACTCATGGAATTAATTAAACTTATACACACGTAAAAACGCTGTTCCAACAACTTGTCAACAGGATGTGTTCGCACTGCTTGTTCCCAGCTTGTTGACAAGTTGTCAATGGCTTGTTGACAACTTGCTACAAGGTTGTTGAACTCAATAGACTTGTTACAAGTTGTTACAAGCAACTTGTTATCGTCTTGCAATTCAACAATTTGTCAACAAGTTGTGAATGACGACTTGTAACAACTGGATAAAATAACAGCATTGTTACAACTTGTTGACAAGCTTACTACAATTACAAGCCTGTTGCGAAGTTGTAAGATTTTTACGTGTGTAGTTTTGTAGCGAATGTGCTCTCTACCTACGGTATTCTATAACAAGCCAGTGTAATCCTTACATAGACAATATTTTCTAACATGCGGTAGTTTCGCAGCGACGCACGCCGGCTGATCGCCGTATTTATTGATCCTACTGATGCTCGTCCCGACCACAAACCGTTTCTTGTGGTACTTCACAGTCGCTTCGAAGAGCCCCTCGTTGGGCGAGGTTACGAATTGCAGTCGATATCGGCAAAAGTATTCTTCGCCTTGTTTAAAAGTCGCCCCCTTTTTAAGGTACGTGTTAACGACGGCCTGATTTGGCCGCTCCAATTGCGCAAAGTTTATATCTTTGAGTGTTAGTGAAGTACAATTATGTAAACTAGTGTTATCTTTTGATAATAAATTATTTATGTATTCTATGGCGGCTAACGCGGCGTTTTGTATATGAGGGTGGCGCGCGTCCACTGTCACCCACTGTAAACATGGGCACCAATGTTCGGCTGTCCCAGCTTCCTTACACGACCGGGTTTTAGGAACCTCGGAGAAAAGACTCTGGCCGCGCGTGAGGCCCGTCGGAGGATCTGGGTACGAAAGCACATGTCGGAACGTCGCATAGACGTCAAACCATGAGGTAAGCCTCCCCCGGTTTCTCTTCAGATTTTCCATAATGTTCGGGTATTTTGATTGAAACCAGGGGGGTGTGAGGATCGCAAATAGAGGTAACCTTTCTTCTAGTTTGCCTTGGACTTGTGCTCTTACCTTACCATATCTGAGCCCGTGATCACCGAAGAGAATGACCAGCGTGTTGTCCAGGTGACCGTTAGATTTTAAATCCTTCAATAACGCCATCAAGGGGACTTGGTTTTTCTTTACTTCGTTGATTTCGTGGTGCGAATATCCAGCTGAAACGAAAGGGTGAAAGATGTAATAAGAGATTTTCCACATCTTGTATGATAGAGGGGCTATATTTACATGAGCCTGTGGCTAGCCGGGATGATAAAGGCAAAATTGGGGACATTATAAGAAAGAAGAGAGATGCTGTGTATTAAATTATTCTCAAAAATCGAAGCAAATAATGAACACAAATTAAAGGAACTAATGCCACCGAGAAATTCAGCACCAAATAATTTCAGAACAAACCAAATTTATATATTAATCTTCCCGTGATGCGCACAAATAGATTAAGTAATAATTATTTTGTTCCTTGTCGTGCACGAAATACAACTTCATAACTATGAGCAGTAGATTTAATGACTATTACATAATTTGATATGTAATCGAAGCTGCTCCATTTACTGTTCGGAGTACTCCGGATTTTCGGAACACTAATTAAATCGAACCAATAATGGTCACATGACTGTTCTGACGATCACATGACCGTTCTGACTGTCGCTACTTTTGAGTAGGGGCAGTCAGAACAGTCATGTGACCGTTTTCGGTTCGATTCAATTAGTGTTCCGAAAATCCGGAGAACTCCGAAAATCCGGAGAACTCCGAATGTATTTTAACCTTGTAAATCATTAGCAATTCAGTTCTCAAGACTAGCTCTAAATTTTGATTCGAATAAGCTATGTATCTAGTTCTAATAGTGAAGTAATATTTCAAATCCGACTATGAGGACTAGACTAGATTTCAAGTCCGCGCAATTTGATCAAGTCCGAGGCGAAGCCGAGGTCTGGATCAAAATGCGAGGACTTGAAATCTAGTTCAGTCCGAATTGGAGGATTTGAAATGACATCTCATGCGAATAAATCACTACTGAAAGTGAGGTGAATTAATTTTGATCCAGTCCAAGGAGTGAATTAATTTTGATCTAGTCCTAGGACTGGATCAATATACTTCACCAAGTATCCAGTATTATCATGTGAGCAAAATAGGGCAATATGGTAGGCTAATTTACTCATACATTATTTTAAAATGAGTTTGAGATAGGTCGGTCACGAATGTCAGATTCATGCTTTATTGGACAAATTTTCGATCAAAAACTATTTTAACCGAGGTTAACCTGACGAGTACCCACTTCTATAAATATTTTTTTGTGTTTAGCGAGATATTTACGCTAGACCGGTTATCCGGGCTGATGACTTTACATGGACAAATTTCAGCCTGCTGCTTATGACAAGCGCCCCGTTTGAGCCAAGTGACGGATGCCTCGTTTTGTATAGGAAATTATTAGGAAGCCGGGCGCCCCGTTTAAGATTGACAGTGATACAATTACCTGAAAAATCTGATACAAGCTGCAGAACGTCGACAGTGCTTAGTAAAACCCACTTATTTGATACAAAAAGACTTCAACTTACCATTAAAAGATACAAAAAACTTCAATTTCTTTGGATATGAATTGAAAACGGCGCGAACATAATCGAAATGGATTTCGGGAACATTTCTGTTATTGACGCAGCGATCAGAAGGATATTTTGTTCGCTTGGCAATAGCCAGGAAGAATGGCCGTGGGTATAAATCTGTAGGAGGGTTTTTGAATCCCATGAGTCGATATTGAAACGGTCCATTCCAAATACCGTCTTCCGATATGCCTGTCAGGTAGCCATGTTCTGAAAGGGATGCAATGCGTTAGTATGGAAAATTAATTCTTGAATATCTCAAATAATATTTGGAGAATAACAGTTTTATTGATTCAAATAAGATTTGTCCAAAAAAATTCAGGGGTCTATATGGCTATAGCTAGTCACTGATCACGATTAGGTGGTCTGTAAATAGATGAATCTCTCAGTTGTACTTTCATAAATTACCGTCTGTTTACTAGCTACCATAAGGCAAAGGTATTTCAAGTCCAATTATGAAGACTGGACTAGATTTCAAGTACAGTCTGCGCAATTTGATCGATCTTTGGACTGGGTCAATATACTTCACCAAGTATCCAGTATTATCATGTGAGCACTAAATAAAGCAATATGGTTGGCTAATTTAATCATGAATTATTAATGAATTTTGAAATGCAATTTTACATCGGTTGAAAAAACTACCCTGTGGATATAACGTTATCTGCTATCCGCCGCCACGCCATGATTCGCAATGATTCGTCATTAAAGGTACTCGTCATGTTCCTAGCTAGTGCGCTAACCAGAAGTTGGTCTTCTGTATGGTCTCTATGCTGGTATGTCAAACCAGAACTCTACCTTGGGTTTCATTTCTAGTTGGCCATTGAGATATTAATTAGAAATTTTATAGAGCATACTAATCAGATTAAGAGCGTTCTGATCAGTTCAATAAACTCACTGCGAGTATTAATCGATAAAACATATTAAAAAAATTACTTCCCAAAAATAGAACGGAAAGAAAGAATTCTTTCTGGATGTGATCATGCTCTAAGTCGGATAGACAATGATCACTTGTGTTCAGTGGGATATAAACTCCCTCGAATTCGTTAGACGGCCTAACTAATTAGAGGGAGTCTATATATCTCACTGAACACACGTGATCATTGTCTATCCTATACTCAGAAAATTATGTATTGCGGGACAAAGTCCGCTGTCACTGTCACTGTCACGGCAACATTTTGATGTACGTCGGACAAAGCAACAGTTCGGTCGGACACCAATACACTGTGGTCGGACAAAGAATAAACCTCAGTTTTACTTAGGTCGGACAGAATGTCCAGTCGTTTTCTCTCTACGTCGGACAATTTCACGAATGGGTCGGACAATGTCCGTGACAGACCGATATTTTAAGGCCTGCAAATTCAACACACCTTTCAATTGTTTAAAAATCCACGTCCACCCATCGACTGGTTTGGCTCCGGGCATGCCAGTCCTCGCTTCATACTGCTCCTCGATATATTTCCCGGTCAACATGGCTGTTAACTGCGGTGTTGTCCCATCACCGACGATTGTGTGGCCAGAAAAAAACAGCGCGTTATTCTGCTTTAAAAACTTCACAACTTCTGGTAGTTTGCGGATGGCATTTGCATAAGACAAGGAATCGATGCCCAATACCAAAATATTTAAAGGAATTCCAGGTTTCTTGGAATATTTAGTGTCGTATTTGCGATTTTCGGTAGCAATTTGTATGAGAGAATCTTTCTTGATTTGGCCATTTTTGAGACGAAATGATACTTCAATCATTTCATCAGTGATAGGGGATTTAGGTTTGACTGGCACTTTAGGGCCCAAAGTATAAGAGAAGTCCCCTTTTCTAAGTATGGGACTGTAGCTCGCTGAGATCACGTTCGGATCTATGGGGCAAAATAGTCTGTCATTGACAATTCTGGGATGGCTGTTCTAAAAAAAACTTGATTTAAACTAGATAGTTTTATCAATTCGAAACTATTCTCTCTATAGAGGTCCCTTAAGGATCATCGCTTATTGATCCAGTGTTACTACAGGAGGAAACAGAGACTAAACTAACTCTATTTATACTGGATAGCTCTATCATGCAGTTCTAAACTGTTCTTCTTACAAGTTCAGTAAAGGCCATCCCTTATTGCTATATGGTGTTACTAAAAGAGGAAACATAAACTAAACTAACTTTATTTATACTGAATTATAGCTCTATCACTAGATCTAAAACTGTTCTCTCTAGAGATCCAGTAAGGATCATCCCTTATTGATCCAGTGTTGCTACAGGAGTAAATTAAACTATAAACTAATTGCATGTCCAGGATCCAGTAAGGTCATAGTCCGGCTCCAATGACCAAATATTCGACTCGAAGGACCACTTACCAACGAATTTCAGAGTTCCATTCGATAACTTGCCATAGGTAGTGCCACGGCAATCTGGGTCTTTTGTGTCCCTGATATATTGCATGATAGATGGATGAAATGGATCTAGTTCGGGTATTAGGCAGATCCTCGGGTCTTTGTTTCCACTGCCTTCTTCTATCACCGAAGGACATTCTGCCTAAATTTTAATAGCACAAGTTGTAAAGGATTGCTTTTTAGAGAAAATTCAGCGCATCTTGTGCTAACTATTAACTAAACTAAACTTAGTTCAGTGTAGCTGTGTTACGACATGAAGGAAATTAAACTATTTAGGCCTATTTGTAAAGGATGGCTCTACCAGTAATTCTAAACTGTATTTATACTGGATAGCTTTATCAGTTCTAAACTGTTCTTCCCAGAAGTTCAGTAAGATTCATCACTTCTTGGTCCAGTGTTGCTACAGCTATAGGAGGAAACCAAACTAAACCGCTAATTATATATATATATATATACTGGATACCTAAACTAACTTAACTTTATTTGCACTGCATGGAGAGATCCATAAGGTGCAAAGTTTTTTCAAAATTTCATATTTTTTAGGAAAGGAAAGGAAAGGAAAGGAAATGTTAAAAAGATCAAGGACTCGTCTGAAAAGGCAGTTCATCTTAAAGCGTGTGGTTAAAAGCAGTTAACAGTTAATCAACTTGTATCAGTTAATTAACTTGCACACTTATGACACGAAATTTCACCCAATATTTTCTTGATTCAAAGATCACTTAAAATGACTGTGTAACTTCTTTAATTGTAGCTTTTCTCCTTCCCGAGATATTTAACTTTGTTTGATATGCAAATATCATCGGCAGTACATGACATCACACTGCATAATGAGTTTCTATAACAGAGTATTTTATATCTTGTGGGATAACGATAACAAATATTTACAATTCTGCTTATATGCTGTATGTCGGAATAAATCATTTAATCATTAGGCTTCCGTATCTGTTTGTGGAATATTTCACCAATTTCAGAATTAATTAATGATACTCTTCAAAATCTCATTATGCAGTATGATGTCCGTACTCTATACTGATGATATAGTTGCATGTCAAGCAAAGTTGAATATCTCGGAAAGGAAGAGTTCTACTATATTCTACTGAAGAAGTTATGTAGTAGTTCTATCGAGCGAGATTCTCAAACATCCGCTCGATATTCATGCATATTGTTGAGTTAATGATGTTTGTGATGTTACTCTGAGTGTGCATCAACACCGGGCAAGCTGAAAGGTTTGCGGTTTGACCACAATGGGAATCGAACCCGCGACCTCTGGGATACTAGTGCAATGCTCTACCAACTGAGCTACGACTTGACATCGTAGCCTACGAAGTCAAGTCGTAGCTCAGTTGGTAGAGCATCTCGTAGCTCAGTTGGTAAAGCATTGGACTAGTATCCCAAATGTCGCGGGTTCGATTCCCACCGTGGTTAGGCAAAATTGTCAGTTTGCCCGTGTGGATGCACACTCAGAGTAACATCACAAACATCATATTCGCCTGAGTATATAATACCAACATACACGAAAAGTATTATGTTGAGTTTAATGTTTAAAGTTTAAAGTTTTTGACGTTGGTTTAAGTGAGGGATTTGTCATTTCTGTGACCCGAAATGTAACTCATACCATAGAAGAATTCGATTCAGAATCTGGTGTTTCGAATAAAGTAGGCGTGGCCGTTGCTTTTCTTATATCACTGCGCGTGGTCACAGGTTCCTGTATTTTAGCTTTCTGTTTCTTCTGAAATAGGTTTAAAAATTTAAAAGTTAAACATAAATTGTCGGTTATAGACATTTAATTCAGGACATTGGCAATAAAAAATTAGCTTAGTTCATTTGAAAGAACTCTTAAAACTATATATTAAACTCTATTCCAGATTGTTTATATCTAGCTTAGTTTTCAAAATATTTCGACTGAAAAAATTGAGCTGTTCGCCTTCTTGGATTATTGAGGATATGCATGTTACGTTAAGAGAGGGGTCACGCTAAGTTTTTATCTTGAGAGTAAGTGATCAATATGAGTTCAAAACTTCGTTTCTGGTTGCTGTCTGAAATTTAGAAATGATTAAAAAAAATTCAAACAATATTGGATTGTTACTCGGTCATTTTAGAGTAGTTTTATATGGTTAACCCAACTCCTGACGTCATCAAAACCATAGTTAATGAGGTAAAGCATTTTTCCAAGATGGCGGAAAGCTCATTCAGATTTCGGTCTAAATATTTCGAGAACTAAGCAAGATATGACAAATCGGTAATAGAGTTTAATATATAATTTTAAGAGTTCTTTTGAATGAGACAAACCAATTTTTTATTGCCAATGTCCTTTAATTAAGATAAATATCAGTTTATAAAATTATTTATTACAATATGAAATGATGTTAAGATATATTTCGGAAATTTGATCATATAGTATGTTATAATATTATGAGAGGAACTTATTTTTTCATTGATAGTTTAATATTTAAATTACTTAATTTTATTTAATAATTTAAAGTTTAATATTTAAAATTTTAAGTACTAGATAAAACATGATATATCAGATACAGATCGGATGCGAATGTTTTATCGTACTTAAAAAATGACCCATCTAATGAGTTCATTTGCGAAGTAATTTCAAAAATAAACATTGTCTAAGCCGAAAAAATCAGAGCTGAAGTTTATGTAAATCGGGACAAATCTTCATCCGATTTACAAACATTGATTAAACATTCATTTCTTTTGTATTTTCCTCGTGAATTATTAATGAATTTTTAAATTTTATTTATCAACTAAAGGACTCTCAGAAATGCACTGCATTCCTCCGCCAGCGAATTGAGATATGCATCATACATTGTATAATTGTATAATTGTATAATTGTATTATGCATTGGGTAATTACACATTCAGTTTGAATCCATTGAACTCCATTGAAGTAAACTGGAAGGCTAACTCAGGGGGGGGGGGAATTGAAGCCAGTGCATTTTAGTTTTTCTGAGTTATGAGCAGAAATACTCAACACTGAACGTTGTGCTGTATATGAAACTGAAGCTATTGAAAAAAGCTATTTGGTGTAGAAATTTCAAGACTTTAGCTAAAAGGAAAATATTTAAAAACTACAAAAATAATTGCTGATAATTTGCCATATTTTGGCCGAATGGCAGTTGTTTTTGTATTTAAAAAAAATAAATTTTCTTTTCGCTGAAGTCTTGAAATTTCCGGCACACCGAATAGCAATTTTCAATAGCTTCAGTTTGATATATATATTATATAGCCAAACGTTTGGGATCAAATATTTCTGCTCCGCAGTAACTCAGAAAAACTAATTTGGCTTCAGCAAATCATAGGCCTTCTTCATAGCAGTTAGCCTTCCAGTTTATTTATAGTTCAATGGTTTACTCTACAAAACGACAAAGTTTTTTCTAATTTCTCATCAATTTTCCAAATTTAACCAAAATTTAATCAATCTGTCCTTGGGTTGTCCATTAAGGCGTTTTCCACTAAGCGAAATTTTTCGATCGAACCGAAATTTCTATTGTTCAAATTCAAAAGATTTCTGTTTAGTTCCATCTGAGTGCTTGTAAGACAAAAGAAAATTTCGATTCGGTCGAAAAATTTCGCCTAGTGGAAAACCGCCTTTAGATCCACAGACTTTTCGTATCACTGTAATGCGTTTGATATTTTTTAAGCCGTTATCGTGCAAACAGACAAACAAGCACACACACAGACACAAATAAAAACGTTTATCCCTTTACCAGAATGGCCTGAGTGTGTCAGGTTATATTTTCCCTGACTCTTCAGTGTCTTCACCATACTCTACCTTAATGTCAGAAATGTTAACTTTAATAGAAGGCTCTTGTATCTATAAAATAGTCAAGATATCAAGTCAGATATTCAATTCATTCAAAAATCATTCAAAAGTTGAACAAATACCAAATATCATTGTATGCATCTAAAAAATAATTCTTTGTTTGCAATTGATGCATGGCGGCCATCCATTGCTGTGAGAAGTACACTTGTTGAAAAGCTATAGCATGTTAGTGTACTTGTCACATGCAGTAAAAATTGTCAAAGTTGCGTATACAGACGAGCAAATATAACTTGCCACATAAAAACTTGTCATAGGAAACTTGCTCGTCTGTAACCGGCTTACACGGCAGTACGGCACGGACTGCGAGTGTTTTAAATGGTTTGCAATAATCACGAATAAGTACTAAGCCAACAAACAAATCACGACGCGGTATTTAAGTCACATGTTAAACCGCATTAATGATGATCAGAAAGTCATGTTTATGAAAGTTATCGATACTTATTCGGATTAAGGCAGCGTTTACACTGTACCGTTTTCGTAGCGTTCTCGTATTGTTCTTAATCCTCAAGGGAACGCAAGACAATAGTCTAGTTCTCTCGAACAATACGAGAACGCTACGAAAACGGTACAGTGTAAACGCTGCCTTAAATGCACTGAAGCGTGAGATTGTCCTCATGCCCATGGGCAATGAATACTAATATTTAGTAATAAAGTGAACAACTATAAATTCATTTTACTTTCTGCTATTATACACCTTTCTGACAGAAATATAACGTGACCCAACAACCGCATTGGACAACTTGCATGAACTAAACTGTTTTAGTCTAAGTAAAGAGAAGGGAATCAAACACCACAACTAAAAAAACATAATAAAATTAGTGAAATTGTAAAATTTGGTTGCGAAATGTTGGAAATCTTGAAGCCTGGAAAAAAATTCGCGCAGCCATTACGTCAGAGAAATAAATCGTGCCGAGCAAACAGCAAAGTGCAAATAGTTTTGAAAAAAATTCTTGCAGAGGTTAAAAAAATCCTGCAGAGACATGAAACTGTAAAAAAAAATCGTGCCGCAAAAATTTTATACCCCTCCCGGGATTTCTAATGGTTCTCCCCTAACAATTTCAGCATGTATATAAATATACAAACATATCAAATATGCAAAATTCGCAAGGATATATTTTACGTAATATATTTTCCGGCGTATTTTACAACATTTCGTATAACCAAATTTTGCAATTTTACTAATTTTAATAAGTTCTTTACGGGAATTTACCCTTTTTTGCCTAGATCAAACATTAGTTGTAAGTATTGAGTATTGGTATTCAAAATCTAAATCTAATGCATTATATTTGAAAAAACGGCAATTTTACAGCACAAAGCAACATTGACATGGGGGGGGGGGGGATTGTCTCAAATATTTTGTCGACCGGATTGTAGATGCAATTAGCCGAATTCATATTAGGGACAGGAAACTCGTCTTAGACGGGAAACTCGTCTTAGACGGGAAACCCGTCTAATATGAATCCGGGGGCAGACGAGTATCTCGTCCGAACTTTCCTGTCTAACTTACCCGTCTAAACCGGACGGGGAAAGTTAGACGGGAATCCCATCTAGACGAGAAACTCGTCTTAAATTCGAATTCATCCGTCCCTAAATTCATATAGCCGAATTCATACTGATTAGAGACGGGAAACTCGTCTCAGACGGGAAACTCGTCTAATATGAATCCGGGCGCAGACGAGTTTCCCGTCTGAACTTTCCCGTCTAACTTACCCGTCTAAACAGACGGGAAAGTTAGACGGGAATCTCGTCTAGACGGGAAACTCGTCTTAAATTCGAATTTACCCGTCCCTAAATTCATATTCAGACGGGTTTTCGCAGACGAGTTTCCCGTCTAAGACGAGTTTCCCGTCCCTAATATGAATTCAGCTAATATGACTGATTCGGCTAATGACAACCATTCAATGTTTATGTACAACAATGTTGTAAAGTTACCTCGGAAAAGTTTAAAAAAATTAAAAGGAAAATAATTATACAACAAAAACAGACCACAAAACAATGTTTGTACTTCTTCATCTATAAAAAGAAACAAAATCTATACTCAGTTCACACAGTGTCAGTGCAAAAAATGAAATACAGTGCAAAAAGTGAAAATAATACAAAAACCCAGACATTACGAGTGACAGAATTTTCTAATAAAAATGAAATTATATAATACTTTTGTTTGTGGAAGCACCCCGTAAATTTATTGCAAACCTACAAAAAACTTAAAAATAAATCTATTTCGCGGCATGTGACCTACTTTATACGCATGCATGGACTCTGCATAATTTTTTCAAGTATATTATCAAGAAGTAATAGTATCACTTCTTCATAATATAATTGAAATACTGTAATAGTACGTACAGTTTCTCGTGGAATTTGGAAAAACATACACTCAGTCTCATGAGTTTTTGAAGACTTCAAATTGCACTCGTCCTTCGGACTAAACACGTAAAAATCTCACATCTTGTAACAAATTAGGCTGCCAACAAGCCGTCAACTGTCAGTCAACAAGATGTATCCGCACTGCTTGTATACATGTCACAAGTTGTCAACAGATTTGGAACAACTTGTTGACAACTTTGTCGAAATTATCAGACTTGTTGCAAGGTTGTTCTAACCAGTCCGTTACATGCATGCTTGATATAACAAGATTGTTACAACCTTGTAACATCTTTGTTATATCATGGCTGTAACAAACTTATTAGCACAGTCTTGTAACAAGGCTGACAATGCCATCAAGCTTGTTACATGCAAGTTGTTTAATAACAGCTTCTTTCAAACTTTGTTACAACAAACTGGGAACAAACAGTGCGAAGACAACTTGTAACAGACTTGTAACAACTTGTTTGCAGACTTGTTACAACTTGTGCGTTTTTACGTGTGTAGTGGGCAATTTTGATCATCTTTGAAAAACTCACTTGTCATGGTTTTCCCAAATTGCACGAGAAACCATACTATTACCTATGCTAATTAGCTAATATCATCTGTGACAAGTATTAATAACCTAAAAGTATGTACCTGCTGTATTAAAATTTTGTTTTGTGCAGTGAAATTTTGTTTTGTGTAGTGGAATTTTGTTTTGTGTACTACACTTGTGGGCTACCGTAAAAAATACCCTATTTTGCAATTATATTTGGCAATTCATAACATAACATAATATAGTAATCTTGATTCTTTCAGAGTTGTTTTAAAAGCATACTATTGTCCCTAATGAATAATAAATTTAACGCCGAATTAATGAATAATAAATTTAATCCACTATCCACTACATTTGCGAATACAGAGGCTATTATAAGTATTATTTATACAATACAATGTCAATATTTTAAAAATATACTATGAATAGTTACCTTATAAACGTTTCCTTTATTTCTTGCATAAACGGTTCTTCATTTCTAAACAATAAAAAAACAATCGTTTTGCATCGGCATTTCGCATTGTAAATATGAAACAAACATCAAACAAATTATAAATGCATGTTTGCAAAATTAACAGGTGGGAATATATTTGGAGTTCGAACCTCTTGCTGGCTCACTACGCATCGCATCTGATTGGTTAATCCAGGGCTTCATCGGATATATCAAGCGCATCTGATTGGTTTCTGCGGCCTGTTTTTTTTTTAAATGTCAATGTAAACACTCTGCGATTTTGACTGCAACTTTGGTGCGACAAGCCGACAACAAGTGCAATTTGCAGTGATTTTACCATTTTACTGGCTTGAAAATTGAGTTAACTTTCCAATACATGATTCAAGTTTACAAGCAATACAAAGATTTTGTTCTAATTAGGTTGTTTACGGCTGTTTTCTTACAAGTGATTGGTTGTAGGAAAAAATTTATTTCCGACTGTCCGTTGCCTGTTGCAGTTTATTCTATATACGGCATATTAAATACAGCATAAAGTCAAAGATAAGATTTATTATCATTTATATCATGCATTGCAAAATGATACTGATAGAGTGATAGACTTCTGGAGTGAAAAGGTATGATTGTAAGCGGAACTGTTTAACTAAATCTAAAGTTAGTACAAAGGTAAAGACAAAAAGACCAAAATGAACGCTGTTTGTGTCCGAAAATTTGTGTTGCCACATACTTGTTTCCTAGACCTAGCTTCTAGTCCTTCTACCGCCGCTCCCCAACTAAATTCTCGTCGGATTTGAAAGAATTAGAAAGAATACAAAACTTGCGATCATAGTCCATAGATCGAAAAAAAAATTGATCAATAAAAATTATTTTCCTGAAATACCATGAGATTTGTTACTCGATTTGTAAGTCCACCCGTGGGACTCGCAGTTCAGACCAAAACCTGGAGATTCACAGGTAAGGATTGGCAGCTCTGGCTATAAATTATACATTATGAGTACATATATAGATCAGTGGGCATTATTATTTTTCAATACTCAAACAGAGACACTTCGAGTCAGCTAATAGATAGCTTAAGATCTACGACGTCGACGTGAGCTACGACGTCAGGGCTTAGCAGAGGACAGGGACTAGGACGTCGTCCTAAATATATAAACTTCCACTTAAGATTCACGACGTAGACATTTAAACTATAAATATTTACATCCTTTTGAAAATGAATTTGAAAGAGACGTGCGAACTATTACCGTTTGTTATGCTCTCATATTTACGACGGTGAAACACTTGTTGTGAGGTTGTCAACGTTTAGTGGACGAGCAAATTGAGAGAGACACATGCACACTTCAAAAACTGTTACCTGAATTTACTTCCGCTTGCCGCCCTAAATATTTGACGTTGTAGATACTTGAGCTATCGACTTATTTAGGACGACGTCCTAGTCCCAGTCCTATGCTTAGCCCTCACGTCCTAGCTGACGTCGACGTCGTAGATCTTAAGCTATCTAATAACTAACCTTAGTTAATAACCAAAAGTTTACTCAAGGTTGTGACTCGTGTCCCGCTGTAGATCTTTTGGGTCAACAATTCAGTAATTGATATGCCATATGAATGTCAAGGACAATCTTCGAGGCTGAACTAAAAGGCCTAGTTCCACGACGAGTGAAATGCAAAAAAATTTCGCGCGAAAAGGTTGAACGCATGCGCAACCAGATGCGCAACATGATTTTGGAATGGTTCTCTGCGAAACATTTCTCTTCGCCTGGTAGTTGAATTGGTTTCTACTTTTTACTCCGTTGCGAAATGGAAATAGCAAAACCAATCAAATGCTTGTGTTTTGGTGTTTTTTTTGCGAATTTTTTCCCTACTGTGGAAATCACTACGATAGAAAATTTCGCACAAGTGTGTTTTCGCGCGAAACTTTTCGCATTTCCCTAGTCGTGGAACTGATTAGGCCTTTAGAGGTACAAGAGTAAATTCTTACGCTCCTGTAACACAACGTTTTGAATTCGCTTGTGCAGAGGCGAACATTTTAAATTCTACTGAAAACTACCATTAATTTAAAATTTAAAATTTAATCAGAAGTCGTTCTACTATATGTCTATGTAAATATCCGTATTTTTATGTTATATGCAAGGCTGGGTTGACTACAAAATTTTTGTAGTTCGCTATAACTACAGCTACTTCAAAAATATGTAGTCAGCTACAACTACTGCTACTTTTGAACAAAGGTAGTTCGCTACTGACTACAGCTACTGCTTAAAAAATGTAGCGAACTATTTCGCTATTTCGCTACACTATATTTTTTAGTTTTACTATATTTGGAGCATCTACTAACTCAGGCGGTAATGTAATCTATAACAAATCGACTTACGAGTAGCAACAGTGAACAAAAAGCAACGTTTTTGTAAGCACTACAGTGTTCAGGAGTGCAAATTGCTATTGAGTATTGATTTTAAGCAAACCGTGTCTTAATGTCACGC